TCTCTCTCTCTCTCTCTCTCTCTCTCCTCTCTGCATAGGGCCTCCTTTTGTGGAAGAAGGACGCAACATCCTATCATCGAATCGACAGTTCGACTCAGGCAAGTACAGCAGTGCAGACATGGTAGATTTCCATACATCCGTCATTTTCCACACACACACACATATATATATATATATATATATATATATATATATATATATATATATATATATATATATATATATATATATATATATGCCATATCTTGATTATGCGCACGCAACGGCAGCAGCATCCATACATCCACAGAGAAGTGTAGCTTTGAATGGCTAAAGAACAGGCCACCGTTCATCTTCAGCGCAGTCCCACTGACCCAAAACACACACACACAATCCCTACCTATTCCACCCAGGCAGGTTAGGATATCCAGTAATCCAAATCCACAAGCAACTTTGTATCCAGGAGAACTCCCTCGATCGACGACAACTTGTTATCGACTCTAACAGTCCAACTACGGAACTATTTTGTCATGCCTGTAAGTTGCATACAGTCAATAGGAAATTAAAAAGAAACAATCTATTGGCCAATACCTATCCCATCAAAAAACTATATCCCATTTTGCCCAAGCATCATCCATCCAACGGTGGGCAAAAGCCAAGGCTTTTGTGAAACACTGTCGCCCAAAGAAAGACTTTTGTGCCTTCAAACTGTCTGTTCAGGGAAAACTTTCTCCAGGAAACGGATGAACCGCTTTTTATACATCTTTGGCTCAACAGCAGAGATAGATACTGGGTCCAACTTGAGTGACTTGCACACATGCTCGATTTTCTTGTTCATGTTGTACTCCTGCAATATGTCTATGATTCCAAAATAGAGAACAACATCATAGACGTCAGCCGGATCCAGTTCCGTTGTATCAAGCCCTTCACCGTGAAGAAGCTTCCAACTAGCTTGCGCCGGCATGTTCACCCCTAGTTGTACACGCAACCTGTGGACATATCACTAGATATCTTAGCCAACAATAGAGCGATGACAGCATCCACAGTCGAAGGAAATCAAATTTCAAATACACATGTTTTATAAGGGTGCCTTTCTTGCGGCTTCCTGCCGAATAGCACATCACGCTTTTGTGAAAAAGATGACGACAACCACCTAGGGATGATTACTAACTCCAGGGAGCATGTTATTGGGTATTATTAGTACAGAAAGATGGATAGTAATGGAATCCAAAAATTTCTGAGAAGACTTGGGAGAATCTAAGCAGGTTGGAACATTTTGCAACACACAAGAAATTAGAAAAAAACTTAAACCACTCAACCGAAAGTGTTAACAAGGGCAACGCAGGTGTATAACATGTTCAACCAAATTTACACTAACCTTTCCCAGATCTATGGCAAACCTGAAATCTAAGGAATGAGAACCAAGAAACATGGTGTCTGCAGCATGTCAAAACTAATCAACAAACGTTGGTAAGAGATTTCATTAGTAAGCCTTTTACTTGAGGAAATTTTAAGTTGATTTCATCACAAGTCAGAGGACAATTAGGTCTCAACTGATTAGTATTAACACAATACAAACTGAAAACAGAAGATCGTTAATTTCAGGACATAGCCGTGTTTTCATGCATGGAGGTGGAATACGGATTCAAACAAAATAGTTTGGCAAATTCTTTGGTGCGAGTGTGATGTTAACCACAAACTCTTTTATAATGTCTTAAGGCAATAAGCATCACCACCATTTAGCATATATAAACTCAGCCCATCTTTGTAAAGGAGGACCAGATACTTACCCTTAGCGTTCAGGTCACAAATAGATGCATCTAAATGAGTACAACACTTGCTGGTGTTGGGGAAATAACTAATCCCCAGGAGAAAGCCAACATGTGAACTCCCAAACCATGGAGGATATCTACTTTTGCAAGCTCCGTTATGGTTCGATCAGCTCATCCACCATGTCGGCACTGTATCTAAAGTCTAAACAAAAAATAATTCCACCAAAAACTCGGATATAGGATCTTTCCATTTGGCCGAACCGTTAGCAGTTTCAATGCTATAAAAGGGGGTCTGACTTCAACATCGAAGAAGGACCTAGCTAGATACACTCTATTTTGCAGGGTTTCCCATTCTTCAATTCGGTCCATCTACTTTTGTGGGTCACCACCTTAGAAGCACCCACCTTAACACTCCCCACCTTGAAGGAATCCAACTGAAAGCTCTCGCAAGCTGTAATGTGCTTCTTACACTGAAAATTGCACCATGTCTGCTCGTCTCCCACCACAGACAGACAACCTCAACAATTTTAAATATTATTCAAGATTCCAATAGAGATTTTTACCTTTTTGCTGTCCATAATAGTATGCAAATAGAGTGCAAGTAGAACACTTGGCTCTAAGACCTTTTAATTGAAAAGGAAAAAAGTCATTTGCAGCATAAACATTGGGGAATATGAATTATGAAATTGTAGTCATACAGACCAAAACTGCCACCAGTCACATAAAAGGGTCTACCCTTAATTAGTCAGGCAATTTTGAGAAGACAAGAACCAAATCCAATCATATTACTAGAACTATGATTTTGCTGAACCAACCTGGCCTAGGTCTACTGGTTTATTTCCGACTTCACCAACAGAGGTTCTAGGTTCAAATCATTGTGGAGATGGTCAGGTAATTCTCTCTGGGTAGGAGGACATTCCCTTTCCTAGAGTCGAGCTTTTGCTGGTTGCAGTCAAATTATAAGCTACATCAGTGACATTAACAATTAATATGATGCAGTCTTATGAGATTGTAGGAGAACGTCGATATGATTCTTTTATCATATTGCTATGTTGACTACTAAATGAACAAAAAAAATGGTCAAAATGGAGATAATTGTATTTACCAAAATTTCCAACCATATGTTCCTCAGAAAAGGCAGAAGGAAATGATTATAGCACCAAGACATCGAATGGGAAAAACACAGTGTACCTTCCTGTGCCAGGCAAAAGAAGATCAACTTCCTTATTGCCTGCTGCAGATGCTCTTAAGGTGCTGCCTCTCATGTGTGAACCTGGCAGGCTACTCACAGAACTTGGTTCATGAGCAACCAAGCGCAAACCCTTCGGCGGAGTTCTGACCTCATCACATAATTGGACATCAGCTGGAAGACAGAATGTCAGTGCATAGTTCTCAGCAAATATAAAGAATAAGCAAGCTGAAAACTGCACAAAAAAATTTAAACTTAACTAGTTAAATCATACAGAATCAACTATTTGTAATAAGAGACTTTCTCTTGACTAAACACTTGGAACCTTCTATCATGGAACACTATTCAAACTATACATGACCACTTTCCCAAAAGATGAAATTGCACATGTTAATTTAAAAAGTTAACATCTTAAACAGGTTATCTTGATCTCAAGTAATACAACTTGTACAACATTTCCTGATTTACAATTTATGTACTTCAGAATATCACCAAGTCTGAAGCTTGCTTATGCAGTCAGAGTTACAAAAAAGCCACTATCAACTAAAACTGCAAAATAAGATTATGTTTCTAATTGTTGGAGTAGCACAACTAGTGTTACTCACAGAATAAAGTCTATCAGATGAAGGATAGGAACACAATAAGAGTTCCACAAGGAATTAGGTTCAATATAAGTTTGAAATTTAGAATATAGCTTGTTGAGCCTAGGAGATTAAAACTAAAAGAACAGAAGGTGCAAGGATTACGGGGCCTATGGTTCATCCATATAAGAAGTTAATTAACTTTTAGGGCTTAGGACATGAAAAATAGAAGCTTTAGACATTGCAGAAATATTTTGAATCCAGGATTTTGAAATCAAACTAATGGAGTTCAACATAAATCATCATCTTTGCATCCAGACTAGGACACACTCATAACAATTAGGTCTCCTACTTCTCATGCCTCATGCACAGACAATATCATATCTTTTGAGAAAGAAAACACACACACCCACCTTGGTTCATTAATTTTTAAAGCTACAGTAAGAGACGAGCCCTAGAAAGATTCACAGGAACATATATCAAAGAAATTAATAATCAACAAGATTCAATAGTCTGTATTATTGGAGAAAAATAAAAGTTGTGATCTGGTGATTGACACTAAGATTGTCGTAAAATTCTACCACAGCAGAAGATCCTGATATTCCTATGTCATATGTGATATTCCCATAGTCCTACAACGACAGAAGATCGATGGGCATTTAGGACTAGATGGGCTTACTATAAGCATAAGTCATGTATAAACCAAGTTATGAGCCAGTAGGCTATCAGATCATGATGATTGAAATCACATGGGCTGAGGACCATGGTTTTCTGGATTTATGGGTCTAAGTAATCAAAGTTTTTCCTAGTATATAAGTAGTTCAGATTATATTATGAAATTCACCGGTGATCGCCTTCTAAAACAAGTGCATTGCCATCCCTTTAGGCCTTTTAATTCTTAATATGTGGTTCAGAGAAAATGTGCATGGCACAAGCTAAAGGCACAACGTGGGCAAGTGCATGGTCATCATAAATCATCATAGAACTAAAATCGATTACTTACTAGCTCATGAAGCTGAAGGCACAAAATATTGCACATTCGTCCACTTGATACTCAAAGTCACCTTCTTCATATTCTACTCTAGGTTGTTGCCAACTTAGGCCTCACTATGATTTACATGTAAATCTTATCAGCTAAAGAGCATCAATGTGTGCTAATAAAACCAGGTTGCTACCTAGCTGACGATAAAATGTATGTTAGGAGAACTTATGAGGCTTTTTGCTTTGCATCTTTCTGAAGGATTAGTTAAATTTTATCATTACAATACAACTATATCAAATATGTACTAGAATGACAATTAATCAAATTATAGAAAAAATAAAGCAATGTAATATATTATTAGAACATAGACCATGTTATTAAGATTGATAATCAGTAAACAATAAGTTTCAGAAACTATAACATTGCTACCAATAGGTTACAAAATTAGTGAACCCTGAGAAAGAGCTGTTCAGCGACAAGCTACTAAATAGCATGCAGATGGAAGCTACATATTTGAACAACTTTGCATACTTAGCTTAGTAAGATACCAGAACTGGAGAAGATACCTACAGATATCATCTTGTGAATTTGCACTTCTCTTTAGTAAACTCTGAGATTCTGAATAAGCCTTGAAATGTTCAGGAGCTCTAAAATGTAGTCCTAACAACATGCTATAATCGATTATAGATTGTGATTCTAGGAATTCACAATCTAGAGAGATTTGTCTGCAAAAAACGAAAAAAATAAAAACAAGTCAATAAAGTTGAAGACTATCTTTACATTGAAGCCTATCTTCATCATGTAAGCAGAAAAATAGAGAAATAGTTACAACTTTTGTCCTACGCAATTTTCATCTTGAAAATATTGATCATAATTTGTTTGACTGTAGCATGCTTATTGAAATGGGCTCTAGGCCTTTGGGGATTAGAAGAATCACCATGTCAATTGAAGGATCATTGGGTTACTTGTATATATGAATCTGTTCTAAACTTAGGGAGGCAGGTCTGAGATGGGATATTCTATTCCGCTGGAAGCTTTGGAAGGCCAAGAACAGAGATATCTTCGACAATCATAACGATAATGCGAACAACCATCTCAAGAGCTTGTGTGGTTCCATTCTTGGAGGGTCAACATCTCCAGGAAGTGCATGAAGAGCTTCTTTCCTGTTTGCTCTAAGGTCCCTCTTGTTAGTAGCTTTTGGAAAAGTTTGTGTGTCTTTTGTTTTGTATTTCAAGTTCGTTATTTCTTCTTCCCATTATCCTTTTTCTCTGTGTTTGCTTCCTTAACGAAATTGGATAGGCTGTTGCCTCTCCATTGCCTTATAAAAAAAATTCAATCCAAGCTTGAGAATCTTGAAGAGCAAATGGATCAGAAGCAGCTGACCTAAACAGTGACTCACGCCATGATTTCTCTAAATGAAAGACATATGTGAGATCAAGATCCTTCAATGTTGTATTCTCATTAATATTATGTTTATTCGTAGATCTTCCATGAGATGAACCCTTCAAGTCATACCGACGGTGAATCCGCAGTTCTGTGCGAAACATATTACCCATAACAACAAAGCGAACCTGCAAACACAAAGTGTTAGACTGCAGCAAAATCATTTGCAATCCTGAAATGCATTCAAAAATTAAGAGTAAATACCTTCTTTCCTTTTATTGTCAGCCTATGGAGACCAAAAAATTTTGTTATCAGCGTATTGTCATAAGCTCCTACATGATCATAATAGTTGGGAAGCATCTTCAGTAGAATCTACAATTGAAATTTGCACAATCAAAACCTGTGTTGATACTAATGCAGTTTGGAATCTGAAAGATTATGATTTAAAACATGGTTTAGAAATAAAGCCTACTCTATCACAATTCCAGATATTATATATAACTTCAATATTGCATGAGTGACTTTGTAGATTAGGATACAGTTTTAATTGTGAAATACTAATGATATGATATTATGGATTATATATGCATTCAAACACAGCATTATGTTGGATATGATTTTGCTGCATGCTGGCACATGTGCAGAACAGTGCCGGTGCATGGCCAGGCCAACAGTATGGAAGGCAAACTGGCACAGGGGCATGGAGAACGTACTGCATTGGAGATATATTCGCGTATGGTCATATTTCACAAATTAGCAATCTTCACAAAATAACACAGCACTGTGAAGCACGTTAAGTAATCCAAGATAACAAGGCATAAGCACCGAACAAGGCACATAGATTCATACACTAAAGACAACCCTATAAGGCTCCTTGAAACCAGTGGTCCTAGCTTAAGTCCAATTTGAGAACCGAAGCACCCATCTATTTTGGTACTGGATCATGTGTACTTGGACCTGATCTGATTCATATAATAGCAGCTAAAATAATTGCAGTTCTGATCAAGCATATAGATAAACTTTGTTGTGCATGTAGAAAAAGTACATCACGTTTAAAAAAAAAGTTGGCTAGATATTTTTAGAAAACCTGCTCAAAGGATCAAAAGGTACTTATTCACAGACAAAATAAATGCTGTTCAATCTCAGTTATAAAATAATATGAGTTCCAAATTTATATATTACTCATTTTTTCACATCCATTTTCCAATTAAATGCATCAAGAGTTATAACATAAACATCAAGAGCAATCGATATGGTTGCAAGTACCAACTAAACAGTATGCTACTCGTACTGTTGACCCACTATCATGAATCAAACAACTAATTCAAGTACAGGCAACATACTGCGTTTTATGAAAGTTGTTTTCTTTGCCATCATTTTCAATTGAGTGACGTACCAAAATAAGATGCTTGACAGTGAATGTTTACCAACCAAAAAACTGCTAATTAATGGCAAATGCCACGTTGAATGCTACACATCTAGTTTTGAATTTGATAGTGAAAAAAAAGCATATTCAAACCTTAAGTTCATATTTTCTGAGAGTCTTTATTACAAATCTCTCATCTTGTGATAGATAAAATATGCTTCCACTTTTCCCTGGAGAAGAAAGCTCCTTGAGGCCATCACCTCCACATATTGACATCATATAGTCAGCGGCATCTATCTTAAACATTTCGCGAAGGTTCCTGAAATATATAACATCGGGCATATCTAGTTAATAACAATGCTTAAACAATCACATGAAATAGCAAGGTGCACAGAAAAATCAAACCAAGTCACTCGTTACAACGTTGAACTTGCCTAGGTACTTGGTCTACCACCTTGTAGGATGATAGCCCTCAAGTCACATAGGCACGCTGGCATAAGCCAGCAGACATTACACATGTACCTCTACCAAATAACTGCACATATACCCACGTGTATCTGTCATTGCAAACTGCTTAGATGAATGCACATGAAGCACATATTATGATAACTATGGTACATAAAATCTTCACAAGTTCTTTGAATGTTGAGTGCACTAATTAGGAAATTGGGAGTAAGAAATACAATGAATACAATGAGATGTATAATCAAAGTTCATTGTAATATAATAAATAATAAACCTATGTAGGATCTTAAACAAGTTATTTCTCATGATAACTTGGAAAAAAAATGCCTCCAGTTTCGAGAAATATGGAAAGCTGATGAAGCTCGGAAGTCCATACTACCTGAACTAATAATCTAAAACTCTAAGAAAATGGTTGCTCATATTCTCTTATTTAGATTTTTCGATGGACAAATCTAAATATTGACTTGGAAAGTTCAAATATATCTTAAAGGTGATTGAAATGTACCACATTCCAAATTTCGTACCTTCTAAATGCACATATCATAACAGCCCATCACGGGCGTGCTCTTATGCACAAAATTTAAAACGTTGCTACAAGAACCGGTGAAACTTTAATACTTGTAAGAAACCTAAAATAATTCAAATGTCATAATAAAGTATGATCAAGTAGTATTTTTGCCCATTATTTTGCCAGCCTGTGGCTGAGAAGATGTCAAAGAAGAATTGATCAATTTATTTCTATTGGACTGGCAAACTTCAAAGCATCTGTCGGTACCAAGGCATGCATGTTCTCGTCATTTTCAACAGTAGATTAAGCCAACTGCTAGAAAAAGTAAACTAAAACTTCTACACATGTAAATGGGACCACAGCTACTGTTTTGCAACCCTACATGAAGTGACAAACTTCAGATCCACATTGTATGAAATCATATTTGTGACATCGTGTTTGAGTACTCTCTTTGTTTGCAACTCAAGATTCTCCAAAGCATTTCACACATCACTTAACAGTGTAACAGAATACACATATATCATTGTTATTTTGTGTCTCTTATAAACAAAGAGGGAAAAAATCTTTAGAAAAATCTGAAAAATGCAACATTCAGAAATCTAAATCATTGGTTATCTCAGAGACTGAATATTTCAAGAAACAACTCCAAGACTATTGCTCTTTCTTGTTTGCTCCTAGAGTGATAAAATGAGCAAAATAAATATCAAAGTTGCTATAACAGCTGCATTACTAGAATACACATTTATAATAGTTTTTGATTGTCAAAGAAAGAACTCAAAAGGTTAAATAATTACCTAAAAACCATTGGGCAGTAGTCCTTCCAAAAGAAACCAATAGAACTGTGTGGAGGTGTAAATTGAGATCCTTTGCTAGGGAAGTACATTCGTATTCTAGCTCGAGTCCCAAAATCAGAGGAACGTACTTCACGCATAGGCACAGGTGTGATTTTCCCAACTGTATACCTGTGAACTCCAAAATGAGAACTCCTTTTTTTTCATACTGGGATTGTGGAAGCAAAAAATCTGTGCTAACTATTGGATACTTAAGGGACAAATAATGTAATTCACAATAATGTTAACATTAAGAACTTCACATAATAATGATTACAAAAAGAAAGAAATTTTATTGGCATTTAAATGATCATATTATCATTCTTGACTTAATTAAAAATAATCTGTCCATTGAGCTGGTTTAAACATTCCAACAAAGTTCAACCCAGAGTTTATTTTTTTACACTTATTTTTATGGAGGGGATGCCATAAAAGAAAAGGAACAACTAATCTGGGTGAACTAGTTGGATGGACTATCAATTTTTCCTACTAAAGTAGGTAACTTCAGTTTTCACTTTAAATCTACTGACTTTGATCACATAAATGCAGGTTTACATTCTTGATCCAGTGAGACTTGGGCGTATTTGGTTTTTTACTTCTTCAAAAGTTAATTGAATACTAAATATCTGCAGAATCAAAAGAAAAAAAAAAAAAACTGGAGAACATAAGAATTATCCAAATAAAGAAGTGACAGAAGGCGCATGGGTTCCATTAGCGACAGAATGGTGCAAAAACCTGATCAAGCACATTAACAACTCAAGAAATGCTTACCTAATTCCAAGTTGCAAGTTTAGCATGAGATAGTAGCTTCTGTGGCCTTTATAAATTGTTTCACCAGGTCCCCTTGGTTGTTTCTTCATCTTGCAGTGCCATTTATTCTTTTGTGATCTTCTAAAGTCATAATATCTCATGCTTTCTGTTATCAGAACTCCTTGCATGTACTCTCTATCATAAACTAAAACACTGTCATTTTGGAGCCCATGTCGACCTTCGTCGGTTGAAGAGCATAAGGCATAAGGTGTGTTCTCTGACAAGCTGCTTTCGCAAGCACCACCAATATTCCAGACTCCATCAAGAAATGATGGCCTATGTGATATTCGTTTAGGATTTCGGAGATAACCAATCATGCTCCATCTATTGACTTTCTTTCTTCTCTTGCCGAATAATGAAGTGGGACCAAGACTTTGCACCTTATTGCCATAAACAATATATTCAGAATATCTATGTTGATAAGGTAGTCTGCTTCCGGCTGGCAAAAAGGTTCCATGTCCATCCTTCAACCCTCTACTCCAGATTCCAACATAAATCGACCCATCGGCATATTTATAATAGCCTGAGCCATTTTCTAATCCATCTAGCCAATTGCCATCAAATAAATCACCATTTGTCCACTTCATAACTCCTTTACCACTCATCTTTCCAGCCTTCCAATTTCCACTATAAGTGTTTCCATTACGCCATCTGTACGTACCAATACCTTCTTGCAAGCCTTCCCTCCAAAGTCCATCATATTCATCTAAATTAGAATATAGCTTGATTCCCTTCCCATGTTGTTTGTTCATCCTCCATGATCCTCTATAAGTAGAGCCATCAACTCCAAAAAGAGTGCCAGATCCATGAAGGAAACCTCCACAGAGTTCACCTTCATATGTGGCTCCTGATAGCCAGAATATCTTTCCTCTCCCGGTAATTTTGCTTTCCTCCCATTGTCCATGATAGATAGTTCCATCTGTCCAGGTGTATCTTCCCGTACCATGAGGAAGCAAACCATCAAAATCTCCAACATAGACATCTCCATTTGAAAGAACCTTCTTGCAATGACTAGAAAACAAGGGATAATTAGAATCTCAACAAATAATAAACCAATATAAGGGTAATATGTATTACTTTTATGATGATCGATAAAAACAACCAACAACTAACATTTTAGAATGGCTATTTTTGTTGCTTAGCTGAAAGCTAAATAATGGAATATACAAGTAGATGAAAAGAAGAAGTGAAAAAAACTCACGTTTCACCATGTTCATAGCTCATACTTGCACCTGCCTTGTTAGATTCCAACCCAATGTTCATATGAACAAGAACAAAGGAAGATAAGATCTCTTCATCTACTGCCAAGCCACAAACTAACATCTCCAAAGATGACTAGCTGCAAGACAGAATTTCCACATTGAACAACAACATGAAATAGGTTTTGATTGAAGTAGAACCGTCATATAGTAATCATAGTGCAGGTTCTAAAAAGAAGACAATAAGGACAAGAATACGGGATCATGTTGGGTGACTATTATATTTTGCCAGAGGTGACAGAGGAGGGGAGAGGACTTGCGTGAAAGAGAGAAGGAAAGGGGAACAGAGCATGAGAGGACCTAAAGGGGAAAAAAATAGAAAAAGACGGATAGCTAGGGTATTACATAGTAAACTTACCACTATATGCCTGGTTTTAGGAATTAAAGCCGGACGATACGTTTGATAATGTAACCATACTATATTATTACTATATGAGTATATGGTAAATACAGAAACAGAAGATAATTCTTGCCAAAATTTCCAAATAATCACTTCAGTTTGTCTATTTGGAAATTTGGTTTCCCATTGTGGTTTCTTTTCAACAGATAAAAACACTAAACGTCTAGATGTTTTGGTTCATTTACTTGAGAAAAATTACATTTTAATACATAAATTAGTAAATAAGACATTGCGCCTGTGACCTTCCCTGGACTTCGAAGTGGTGGGAACCTAGTACAGTCGGCTGTCTTTTTCTTTATGATACTTTGTATTTGCACTCTGTGTAGTAATAGCATGATTATTTCTCAAGTACAATAATAAAGGTCCTAATTACAACAACTGGATATGGAACCTACATTTTGATATGCATGAACTTTAGTGTCGATTAATCTGCATCCATTACAATAAGGAAATTGCAGGTCCACTAGAAGGTACATGGGATAGAATTTGTGAGTCCTAATTTGTTTCTTTTTTTCCTTAATGTTATACATGCTGAATTTTTTTACATGCTATATATGTTCTTTTCATAAAAAGGAAAGAACTATATTCCTTCAAAACTCTAATGCAGGGCAAGCTATGCTCCTCGGAACACAAGAACTGACCAAGTTCCATTGGCTAGGACTCCCTCCCTCCAAATACAAGAGGATTTAAGAGGTTCTAGCAAGACATGCTAGCCGATTAGCACTCATGTTTCCTTCCCGATAAGCATGACAAAATTTACAATCCTGAAAAAAGGTAGCCAGGTATAGTATGCTTCTCACACATGCTGTATACGTTAATTAATTTAATAACAACAGCAATTCACCTTGCACAATCATTTCTTTTACAGAGGAAAGAGCACAAGATGTGCTTGTTATATATCTTGAGATAAATTGGAATGCAGAGAACCAAGCTAAAACTGGTGGGAATGGTGCTAAGGTATTTGAATCTAGGTAATTCTCTAGGTGGGTTCCCTTTGTCACTGTTTTTGATGGAACAACTCCAGTGAGGGCAGAAATCTAGTATATTAAGATTCAAAGCGAGCATAGGTTAAAAAAGATGAGATGACAGTGGATTCAAGGATACTAACATCAAGGTTCATCGTACCGTGGTGTACCGCTCGATATGAGCGGTACATATCGATCTGATAGGAGGCCGACATGGGCCGTACATTGGTATGCCTCGTGCACCATGTGTTAGTATGCTCGGTACGGCTTGGTATATACCGTACCGATAGTTGGTCGGTTCATCGGTATGGACCGGTAAGACGAACCTTGACTAACATACTTTAGAGTTTAGATTACCTTTTGCTGGTGTGGCACCTATTATAAATATACTGCATTTTTTTTATGAACATGAGTTGAAGATTATACTGTCAGGGTATCTTAATATAAAAAGCAATTTAGTTCCTACTAAAAGAGCTCATATGACAAGCTGACCTCCTCATTACCCAAGACCATTGTGACCCTTAAATTTGCTTTCTCCATGTCCTTATCTGGCCAAATAATTACATCATTCATATGTAATTACGGGCTTTGTTTAGTTGTCATTGCATATCCTGCATTTCATAAAGACATTGTTCAGATTAGATTCGACAAATTGATGTCAAGAAATGACAACATCCTCTAAGAGACTTAGCTCTCTGATTAAAGAACCTGGCTTATTATTACAACTTGCAACAAGATATCAACAAAAACCATTGCAGCTAGAGCCAAGAGGTTGCAAAAAAATGATGCTCTAAAGACTTCATCTGCACAGCATCAGTGACTGATAGCATGATCAGAATTATAATGTATAGTACGTTATAAATTTCTTGAAACAAACGGGAATAGTATGTCATTAAACAAATAAAAAGGAACAGCCACAACGAAAGTATGGTCTGTGCATCTAATCAAGAAACCGCTTTAACAAGTCATGTATGGCCTACTTGGTGGATTAACAACAAGAGTAGCTCAGACGATACAAAGAGCATTCAAATCTGTAAAATTAGTGATCAGTTACCCTTGAATCTCATATCAGAATCCATGATAGTATACAAATTACGTTATCACTATTGCTCGATTACTCTCTGGCCTATGGATAGAATTTTAGCTATGCTTTGCCATGAAATAACTTGAAAAAGAAAATGGTGAATGACAATGGTGTTGGATTACACAAATGTATTTACGGTAACAAGAAATCTTACACAATTTCAATGAAGCTTTATTTTTTATTTTTTTATTTTTTATTTGATAATAGGACTCTGTTTTAGTTGAAGAGTTGTATAGTGTTTCTCTGAACTTTTAGTAAAATTACACCCATTCAATTCAAGTTTAATGCTTAACATGCAATCCTAACGTACCTACGATCACGCAGCATCCTGAGTCTCCAAAATTCTCCTCAATCGCATGATGGGTCATCAACTCTTGGGGATGACAGATTGTTGAGCAAAGACTAAATTTCAGAATTGTAAAGAGCTCAATGGAAGATCTTAATTATAATGACTGCCATGTAAGATCTTAACTCTTGACCGGATTAGGACCCACAAGGGAACCTATGTAAATTTTGTTCCGAAAGGAAATGACAAGAGATAACGAAAATGGGTTCCCGCGTGTCCTCAACTGTTCTCCTCCCAAATTGCAATATTTCCACCAGGCGGCGAAACAATCTAACCTGAAACTAACCCTGATGTTACTTTTGCCTACTTATTACGTCTCATCGATCCAAACTTGCTCGTCGATAACCTATCAAAAAGCATGTAACTGCGCTATTCATTTTTCGCAACGGATTGTGGCCCAAGACTAAGCACATGCATATCTTAATCAATTTCGCTCAAGAACTCCGAGACACCAATCGGGACACAAGGTCGATCCAGAGGGTACAATGGAAACGCAAGGCCTACCTCGCCTCAGTTCGTCCGGCCCAACCTCTCTATCTATCTCCGGAGATCAACAGTCCGCGCTGCACATCATGAAAAGAGAAGGCACAAATCAGACGCGTCAAGAATCAGGAGCACAACCAAAGAAAGGATTAAAGAGATGAGCTACGGCAAATCGAGAAACGAAACGCGCCAATCCGACGCAACAAGTATCAAAAAAGGAAAGAAACAAACAAACGAATCCCTACCGAGCAGAGGAGGGAGGGAGGGAGGGGGAGGATCGATTCCCCTGCGCCGAAGGAATCAATGCCGGAGATCGCACCGAGGCACACAAAAGTCAAAGAATATACAATATAATAAATCTCCACTTCGATGCGAACCAATTCGGAGACTTCACACCGAGCAACAGAACAGAGCAGCAGCACGAGGGAAGGGACGAAGGATCACAAAGAAGAAGAAGAAAAAGAAGAAGAAGGACCAGATTCGTGGATCACCGCGTCGTCGGAATCCGTTCCTTCATCCTCTTCTTTTATCTGCTCTTCCCTCTTTTGCGGTAGTTCTCGTCTCATTCCAACCACGATTGCCGCTTTACCTTCTCCCTGTTGTTTTCCTCATGCCATCTTCTGCTGTTGCCTCCTCTTTTTCTCTCCCTCTGCCTTTTTTTTTCCAAAAAAAAAATCAAAAAAGAAAAGAAAATTTACATTCATATCCTCTCAATTAAAAGTAAATACATTATATAGGTAGTAAAGTGTGGATGTTTGTATATATTAATTATATGCAGAAAGAGATTTGTACTTGGCATGTAGCAGCACAATGAGATGCAAAGAAAGAGACTGTTTTTTTTATTTATTGGAGGGAGGGAGACATGTGGGGGCCAACTCCACACACGCTGCTTTATTATTTATTATTATTATTATTATTATTATTATTATTATTATTATTATTATTATCGTTTTACATTAATTAAGGATGAGAATGGGAAAGTCCAAAAAAAATCCCACGTAAGCCATTTGTGGGCGTAGGATTCGTCGACGTGGTTCCTGTTTTGAGGAGTAGAGACAAGTAATGGCTGGATTTGTGCTGCTTTGTCCCCCTTGGATGGTGATTACATGGAGTAAACACCATGAATTAGCGGATGCCGAGTCTTATTCGCATGTACTTTGCGGTGCTCTATCTAATTGCACCTCCCTCCCTAATTTGTCTCGAATTAAGACAACAAACAAAAGTACCTAATTGGTAGGCACGATTTGTATTATTGCGTTAACGGTTGCTTTCGATGAACTATAAAGACCTTCACAAACACAAATTACCTTCAGCATTCGATCCCTAATTAAGTAAGTGATGATGATGATAAGGACGATTAGCGTGTGTGTAAATTGTGTGTAATAAACCACCGTCGTGACATCGCCAAACACAGCAAGAATTAACTACGTTTCGTGAGATCAACACTGCATTCTCCATCGTCAACAACCTCTACATAAAATAAATCGAAGCTACATTTTTCTTCTTTTTTTTTTTTGCCTTATTATCATGATGATGCATCACATATTATTAATCCATCGACTCGTACGACCTATTTCTATTTGTTTATGACAACATTTTATAGGTTACGTGATATGTCCCAATCCAATCGATCCCCTTTTCTTGTCGGCCTTACTAGCGAATACATCCAGCATTATTTTATTGAGTACGTGTCACGTACAAATACGTTATGTGATCCCTTCGATCCTTTTTATATACTCTCCTGTTAACATCCATACAGTAAAAATAAAATATTAATTAGTTTGGCCCGTAAAATTTTGGGCTCCAATCAACCTTCATCACTTATCTTCTTCTTTTTTTTAATAATAATAATAATAAACATATTTAAATATCTAAAATATTCTTAATACTCTTATGAATATGGTAAATTTTAAAAGATTATTAACGGGTTTAAGTGACAGATTAATTACGTTTTTTTATTGTGATTTTTATATGCTTTTAATGATGTTTAGAGTTTCGGTTAACTAAATGGCGCTATTGATCACAATAGGGATATTTGTTTAAGGGATTTTTGAATATTAATCGCAATAGCTTTTTTTTTTTCGAAGTGGGTTGACCTCGGTCGGTGGATTCATGCATGCATCAAGAGAGAGAGAGAGAGAGAGAGAGAGAGGAGCTAATGCTGTTGCGTCGCCATCGAGTGCTGGATATTTTCTGCAGCCCGACAAGGCATGCACGCTCGCCGCGGAAGTGGCCGCCGCTGGCTGGCCCACCTCGCTCGCGATGCCACGGCCGGCCGGCCATCAGCTGAGCTAACACCGGACGAGTGGCACGGGACCATCGGCGAGAGGCACAAACATGTGGAGGATGGAAAAGGAGGGGTGATGAGTGGATCCAGGGTTTCATGCCCCCCTCCCCCCACCTCCCCCCCGGGGGCTAATGATGAGTCAGGGTCAACAGGTTTGGTGGATCCTAATGGTTTAGTCTTTTTCGAGCAACTTTCACTACTTGCCACCGTGCTGCTGTGCTCTCTTCACCTCTGGTTTCGTTGTTTCTTTAGAAAAGACAGTTTCAAATCCTAATTCAATTTCGATTCCAGTAATTACCCCAACACTTCATCCTTCACCTTTTCTTCTTCGTCTTTTTCCATCTTCTTTCTTCTCCTCGCTTCCTTCGTTTCCTTGTGAATGCCTCCCTCGATTCTACTCCAGCATGGAATCCAATTCCTCTGTAATTCCCGACACATTAAACAACAGACGACGACGACATTAGATAGAGAAAAAAAGTGTTCCTCAAAAAGTTCACTCGCTTAAGAACTAAGAAAAGCTTATCGAGTAATCCTCGTCGTGTCACAAACTACTGATCCAGCAAAAAAATGTAACCAAAGAGTTCTACAACATCTACGCACAACAAAGCACATGTTGCAAGAAAAAATAATCTTTGATAATAGCATATATGCCAAATTTAAACGATTGCAAACTTGGTCATACGAATCAACAACAGGTGATATCTTTGTAAAATATGGAGAGTATCACATAATATGTCTACCATCGTAAAGGAACCTTACTGCTTTCTGCCCTGCCTCGAGTTGGACTGAGACCTCAATGGTACTTTCTCATGCTTCGTCTCTCTATCAACCTGTAGCAGGTTTAAAATTGATCACAAGTATCTTGATTTCTCCTCTATTAAAACACAGTTCTCATACATACTATAAAATTGTAAGCTTGCATCAACACAAGGGACTATGGGATTTGCCATTTGCCTTTTCCGTGTTATCGAAAATCCTGAGTTATTACTGCTTATAAATATATGGCATGCAAACAAGAAGTACATGCAGCTGATGGTAAAAAAGCTTTGTATATGTGATCTCAAATCAAGCTTTAAAAAAAAAAATTGTTATTATAAGCATACTGTAACCTCACAAAACAAAACTTTTTCTACGTTGTGTTGTACTTGGAAAATAAAGATAATGCATAGACCACATTGTATCGTAATACAAGCTTGTCCAAGTAGAGGATTATGTACTACCGTTTCTTTCCCAACTTGTGTCTTTCAATAGAACTTTTACTCTCTAGGGACCCAAGAGTAGCTTTTCAGACTTGCTTACGGGTGAATTTAACATGCTCTTACTCCTTGGTCTTCTGTGTCGTCTTGGTCATGGAGGATGCCACATCTGTCTATGAGGACTGGGAGAATGGCTTTTAAGCCATCTTGGGAAAGTAGAACGACTTTTCCCCTTGTCATACGAAACAATTTCAGATATTGATGTGCACAATCTAAAATAGAAACAAGTTCAGCCACCTCAAATATTGTTATGAACAATCTTCACTGCTCCACCTTTACCAAAACAAAGTAAACATGCAACCAGACAAAAAAATTGTGAGCAGTCATCACCTGCTTATATAAGGGAGAGTTCATCCACCTTCTCCAAGACAAAAAGTCTTAACCATAACAAAATTTTGGCTTCTATTGGATTTCTTAGCTGATATGAGTTTGCATCGACACAATTTAAGAATATTCTCAAAAACCACATTTACTTGATAAACCATAGAGAAATGCCAGTGGCCTACCAAAATGTAAAATAGGCCCGGATCAGAAGAATAATCAATGAAAAACAATGTACAAGCATGAATATAAATATGAATACAGAACTACAAATGCCAGAAAGTATCACTAATGGTGTTTATATAAGAAAACACTAAAAGCAGACTATCAATTAAGTAATTCACAAAAAATATAATTTTATAATTCTGGTAGAGCTCATAAGCAAAAGACTATGCTTCAAATTAAGACAGGCATTAGTTTCAGCAATACTGTTGATAGCATTTGTATAATCTCCTTCTTCACTTACAGCAAGGTATCCCCAGCTGAATTCAAGAAAGGCCGAGAGGGAGCCATCAATTCTTTTCCCCTTGTTTCCAGTTATTTCTGATATGAATTCATATTTTAAATTTTAATATCTACAAGCTGATCAACCAAGTTCACCAGGAAGCAACTAATTAAGGAGAAAAACCGGAAGAATACTTTGAGATCATTCTCAACAATAAAAATGCACTCATTCGTCGTGGTACCGGTGAGTGCAAAACAAAAGGGAAACAACTTTTGCACACAAAATTCTGCTGAAAAAAAGAATTAAATGTTCTGATGGTGATTCGGAAGAATTTTAAAGCAAATCAAATTGAACATACTTGATACAAAACAAATAAGACTACCAATCTGAGAAGATAGCACAACAGATAACAATTCAAACCATTCATGACACGTAAAATGATGAAAAAAAAAACCAAAATTTAACCAAGGGTAGTGATGGATACATTTGTTTAACAGGCTTGACGGCAAAAGACTGCATAGTGCTATTTAAAGTCATGAAGCAAATAAATCCGATAATTTATGTGAATTTCAGCACATAAGACACAAGAAAATGATGTGAATCCAGCGGGTTTCTTCAGAGGTAGCCATAAGAAAACACATTCCTCGTGTCATCAAAAAGTAGTACGAGAGCATCAACCATATAAGCAGTGCCGTAGATAAAAAGCAAGTTTCTGAAACTTACCCCAACACAAAGAACAGACAACGTAGCAATTGTTGACAGATTTTAGGCATATCCCCATCTAGCCTACTGTTTAGAGCTATCATCTATAAAGTCCCTTCGATCACTGCCTATAGAATTTAAAGCGACCACTTAGAAGAGAAACCTGACATGCTAAAACATCTAGCCATGAGGCATACTTATTAACCAGATGCAGCCAAACTACTCTTACATATTGGTCGATGCACCAGCAGATAAAAAAAAGAAAAAAAAAGCTTTTACTCTTACTGTTTCAGTCTATGAGCGTTACAACATATTCTTCTTATCAAGCGGCAGTATGGCAGGCATATATGCGGTTCACAAGCTGGAATCTTTTAAACAAGATACATTAGATCTCAGGAAACAAGAAAACAAAGGAAGTATCTCTTAGCTTATTACAAAAGCAAATACTTTTTGTTAAATATGAGGAATCCTGGTGCTGGAAAAGATGAGAATGAGAAAGTGGGCAGTTAATCTGCAACTGCTTTTTCCTGGAATGGCCAAATGCATTATCAAAAAAACCATAAAATCCCTGTTTTCTAGAATTCTAAAAGAATTTGAATTGATTTTTTTTTCATTTCTCTTTCCCCCACGCTCAATAATATAGAAAGGATATGTCACAAGGAGAGACCATTGGATGAAAACAATAGAGGATTAGTGCAAGTTTCTTCTTTCTAAAGGGGGAGAGAGATTTGTCACATTCTGATACGAATTTACAGAGGGTTTTGGTAGAACAGATACAGAGCGTTCTGTGATCAGAAGAAAGAGGGTTCTTTTTTCCTGACAGTGGGTCGGATGAGGCAACTCCCACGCATCAAAGGAGTAGGAAAGGATTTGGTGACCTATCAGAACTGACTTCCTTACGAGTAGTAGTTTACTTCCTCATAAGAATTTGGTAACTCCATACATTTATATTTCTTGATTTCGAACAAAAATAGGTATTGGCGTAGTAATACTATGATGGCTTCGATCTCTGTAAGAGTGGGAGCGGCTGCCTTCCCTTCTGCTGTACCTGGGGGGGGGGGAAGGAGAGCAGTTTCTCCTATACGAAGGAGACCGATAGACACTTCGAGGCATCTCTCGATCGATCGATCGATTGATCTACCGAAAAAAATAGTACACCTTTAACAAATCAGGTGACCAAAACAAGCTCCATTCGTCGTCCCAAGATCTTCTACACAACTATCAAAGCGAAGAAACCAGATAGGGAGCGATTAAACGCTTCGGATTGATGTAAACGAAACATAGTAATCTCTTTACCAATAATATGGCTCCGATTGTGGAGAGGCCTCAACCAAGATCCGGCGAAGAAGACACCGATCGAAGAAGGGAGAGCAGGGCAAGGATAGAAGAGAAAGCTGTCGGGATACGAGGGAGCGGGAAAGACGGGGAAACCAAAGGGGGGCGAAGAAGCGTCTTATATACTGGTGGGTTGGGTTAGAAGTTACGACTCGTTTTGAGTCCGACTCAGAATGCACCGAGAAGGAAAGATTCCGAGTCAGCTTAGGTAATGGACCGAGTCGCCGAGCTGCATTAGATACGATATTAAATTAAAGGCTAATCTAATTGTAGGAGATTATGTGTTATTATTATTTTTCTTCCAAATGATAAGTGATGAAAGGGGCATTCTAAGACTACTATGTGCGATAATCTGTTAAAGGTTTTTACCGGTCAAGTTAATATGTGTGATCGTTATTATCTAATATAGCATAGCAAAAGTAGATAAAAAAAGAATTAACTCATTAATTTATTAAACTTAAATTATTAATTTAAAATATTTAAGTCTAAACAATTTAAACTTATATTATCTAAATAAAAATAATATTCATACTTCTGCACCCTCTTCTAGTGATACAATCAATGTATGAAACCTAAGCATGGCCATTGCATCTTGATTGATTCATTGATGTGGGTGAAGGAAGAATATTAGTCTTCTTGATGTCTCGATTCTTTTGATCCACCTATGAATGAAGATTTCAACTAAATGATACATTCAATATTGCATTTGTTTCGTAGGCCAACAGCATCTAATTTTAATCTTCTCAAAAGAAAAAGAAATCCAGTTAATTCACTGTGCCACCATCATATGACTCCTCTTTCTGGTCCTCTCAAGCAGACAGCTTGAAGAGCAGCAAAAGTGCAGCCGATGAACTGTGAAGCAAGTCCATCCATTTATTACCAATGATCAGACTAGACAATTGGTGGAAACCCCACCGGTTTGAAGATTTGCTGATGCCTCAAGCAGATCATCTCCAGACAAATCTGGACATTATTTGCTTCAGTCTTTGTAGAGCATCACATAAGAGCACTCAGGTCTGTGCCCCAAAGAGCTTGCATGCATGGATAAGGTGATTTCTACAAGCAGCGGTCAGTGCATTACGTATCGGATAACTCCAGCCTTTTACTTCTCCAAAATGAAAGAAAGCAGATTTCCAGAACAGAGCAGAAGCTTTCACCTCCACGACATTATTGTGCGTGCACTTTATAATCTTCCTTCCGTTCTTACCCTTCATGATAAGATGATGGCCACAAATCCAACACCGGTGAGGTAATCGGATAAGCAACAGTCTAAGATACTGCTCGACTTGTGGCCATCAGATACAGAAGGCCGGACCTCATCAGACTGCACTACCTCTTTGCTTCCACTTGATGTCTCTTTGAGTCGTCATCGTGCAATACATGCAATTTTATACACCAAAAGAAGTGGAGAAAGCATCGAGTCTTTAAAGTCCCTTTGAGAATTATGGATCTTGAAGACGGAACTGCTCCTGTCCTGGGAATGGGCACTTTAATCTGGAGCCGTTTCTGGATGAACATAATGGAGGATGGTAGTAGCCTTTTTTTTCACTTTAGAGATGAACGAAGCTTTTGTGGTCGATGGAGTACGTAAGGGATACGTCTTCCTTTTATCTATAAATGGCTGAGTTAGGCTTTCCATCTCTGCATGCAGTGTGCGGGGTGATAGTACTAGAGTAGAAGAAGACGATTGAGATGGGTGTTGGTGAGGTTTGGAGGAGAGTGAAGCCGTACGTGGCCATGGTCTTCTTGCAGTTCGGCTACGCCGGCATGTTCGTCGTCTCCGTGGCCTCGCTCAAGCAAGGCATGAGCCATTACGTGCTTGTTGTCTACCGGAACGCCGTCGCTGCTGCTGTCGTCGCTCCCTTTGCACTCTGGTTCGAAAGGTTGAGCTCTCTCGCTCTCTCTCTCTCTCTCTCTCTCTCTCTCTCTCTCTCTTAAGAACACGCGAAGAATCCAAGGAATGAACAACATCTATGAACTTATAACACAAAGAAAGTGAAATAAACCATGCATTTCATGGAACATGAAGTTGCAGTCTCTCCAGCAGCAGAATGCTTTCTCAGATCAGCAAAAGAATGCTGTTACTTTCCATGCCTTTCTAAGGTCAGCAAAAGAATGCTTTTGATTGCCTTTTTGGCGATAAGGCACCACTAGCAAAAGCCTAGTGGCAAGTGAGGCCTGAGTAATCTTGCATGCTTCACTAACTCGAGTAATTTATAGAGCTAGAAAGATGAAAGAGAGTGCCTTTTTTAGCTTATTAGCACTGATGTTTGCTTCCTGCTTCACGCTACAGGAAAGTGAGGCCAAAGATGACCCTCCCCATCTTCCTCAAGATTATGGCTCTCGGACTACTCGAGTATCGATCGACTCTACCATACATCTGTTTTAGCTAAAAATACACAGTGTCATCAAATCACCTTCTTATGTGTCGGATTACTTTCATCCAGACCAGTTCTCGATCAAAACTTCTACTACATGGGAACCAAGTACACATCGGCCAGCTTTTCCTCTGCTCTCTACAACATACTGCCTGCAGTCACGTTTCTGAACGCCTTTGTTTTAAGGTGAATCCTCCATCTCTCATCTATCGGTTATAATTGGAATGCAACTGAGCTGCAGCTTCATGATCAGAATGGAGAAGATAGACATCAAGAAACGACACAGTCAAGCTAAGATTATTGGGACTCTGGTGACAGTGATCGGTGCACTGATCATGATATTATACAAAGGCCCGATCGTCGAGTTCATATGGAACAAGGGACGGCACCTCCAAGCCGAGGCTGCTGCCCAGAATGACACTCACTGGCTCCTCGGTACCCTCATGCTACTGTTTAGCTGCTGCTGCTGGTCCGCGTTCTTCGTGTTGCAGGTATGTAATATGCTCCCTCCCACCACCGAAGCAAAAGCCCGCCAAGAATCTGGTGATCGATACATGCATGGTGATCGTTGATGTGGTGCATGCAGTCACATACGCTGAAGTCCTACCCTGCAGAGCTCTCCTTGACAACCTTGATATGCCTCACGGGAACGGGGCAAGCCGGTGCAGTTGCTCTCTTCATGGAACGCGGCGCCAAGCCTTGGTCGATAGGATTTGATATGAGACTCTTCACGGCGGTCTACTCCGTAAGATGCTTGTTCAAATAACGATGATACAGCAGATCGAACTGCCTTCTCGTTCTTGAGCTGACAATGATTTCCCTTTTGCAGGGCATAATGTGCACAGGGGTGGCGTATTACTTGCAAGGGGTGGTGATGAAGGAGAGAGGTCCTGTGTTTGTAACTGCTTTCAACCCTCTCTGCATGATCATAGTAGCTGTGATGGGCTCCATCATTCTAGCAGAGGAGATCTCTTTAGGGAGGTAGGACTAGTAATCATTTCACTTCTTTGTCATCTATAGCCACACAAAACACTGCCAAAACTCATTCGAGTTCTACTTGGAACTGTTGATAGGGTGATTGGTGCAGTTGTTATAGTCATCGGTCTTTACTGTCTTATATGGGGGAAGAGCAGCGACCGGATGAACACCTCCACAGAGAACAGTGAGAAGACGAAGGCCGTGGATGATGTCATGATATCGAACTCCATCGACTACGTCACTGTTGTAGACATCCCACCGGAGAAGAAACCTGACGGAATTAATTAAGCTCTGTTGTGTTGCTGCATGTACGGCAACGACTGGATAAGGATGCCTCTCAGCAGCTGTTGCTGTCACGGTCGAGGCTAATCTCCATGCATCTTTCTTTTCTGCTTTCAGAAGATTATCCTATGCACAATAATTCTCCATCTTTTATCTACTGTCATCTCCATGATGCGGAATGAGAAGTGGTCCTAATGATCGATCACCTTTGATGAGCTTTACTTTCTTTTTGTTGATGGAGATTTGATGCACCGGTTATCTGCTAACATAGTTGAATGAGTTTTGAGTTCTAAAGAAGAGGCAATAGAGACCAACTTCTTGTGAAGCCTATGCATACATACTTGAGAAGAGGGTGTTGGATGAGAAGACAATGGTCTTAAATGCAGGAGAAATCTTTCTTCTGCGTACATGTGAAGATGAACTTGGATCAGAAAAGAACATATTTAGCTCAGCTGGTAACTAATTAGATTCTCCCTTGTTATAATATCCATGAGTGGTCCAGTAGTGGAAGCAAAAGAACACTGCTCTTGAGGCCTCATATAATTTCTCCAGATTTTTTGATTGAAAAGTCATGCTGTTTCATTTTTGACCCAACCACTTTTTGAATGGAAGTGCATGACAATAATACTCAACAAATCCATAAATTTATTACAAAAGAATGTGGGCAACATTTTGAGCAATGAATTACATATGAATTAAAAAGAAGTGTTCCTTTAGCAAACATCACCACCGTTGGATCAATTTGAAGGGATTCGCGATGATTCTGAATCTCACTTCTGATAAAATTCAGCAAGATCAAACTGTATCACATCACAATAACAATCTTGAACCGATAACAAGAAAACTGAACTCTTCTTCAGGTCAAGTTCACATCCTTATGCTGCTGAACGGTTCCTGCATCCATATGCTACCGAATGCTTCCTCGAGTGCCCTCCTCTTGCTTGATTTGGTTGTCCATCCCCCAGCTCTGCCTCCTCTCCCAGCTCATAGCTTCGTGGTCTCCTCGTCGTCGGTTGCATAGCCCTGCAGAGGATCAGCTGGGGCTCCGACGGGGACAGGCTGTGGAGCCATACCTGTAGGACGTGGTTGCATAAGCACACCACCGAGCATGGAGGTAGGTGCATACTGCCCTTGATTGCCGACATCGATCCCTTGAGCATTTGGTCCAGCACCCTGAGGTTGGATAATACGATGATGATGATCAAGGTAAAAAAATCAATTACATGTTAAAACAAACATAGAGTTGACGTAAATGCATTTGCAATTTGTAAACAACCAAGAATAATAATATGCAGTATGTTAAACAAGTGCATTCTTGTGGGAACCAGCAGAAGATACTAGTAAATACTCATAGCAAAATTTAATATAGACTTAAGGTGGTATGGAAAGTTTTAATATGATTGAAATTTGAGAAGAAAAAAAAAGGTGTCATCGGTTACATCACTGTTTGGTACTTGGTAGACAAAAGAGCATAAGGTGGAAACAGGATATATGAATCTGACCAACGAAGTAGCATATATGGCCAAATAAATTCTTGACAAAAAAAAAAGATAAATGCCATTTTTTTTCCAGGTTGTAGGTACCTCTGAGTTTAGGTGCACAACTTACCCCATCAGTTGGATCACCTTGACCAAAATTTTGGCTTGCCTTTAGTGCTGCCGCTAGTTCTTCAGCCTGTACAAAATCATAACAACACCACCGACACCTTAGCCATGTAACTATTAGAAATGATTATCTAATAGAATATGCCATCAGAGAACACAAAATAGTACCAAGAGATGTATATACTCCAATTACCTTACGTGCTCGGGCATTGATGATTTGTTCAGCATTTTCTTCTTGGTACTTAGCAATCTTAGCTTCAATAGCAGCGACATCAATTCCTTCAATTAGGTTGTAAGCTAGTTACAGAACATAATCAAAACACGATCAACTAGCATGTTAGGCATGTAATGTATAGGGAAAGATAAGTTATACCACACTTACTCATATCCTCAACTTCTTCCAAATAGTCATTACACTCTTTAAGAGATGGAAAATCCTCTTCTCGCTTATTATATATATCTACAGAAGACATTAAGAGGATATATTTATCTAAAAGCCCACAAAAATGTCAAATACTTCAGATGTGTTTGCCATACAGGGTAAAATAATCCAACGGCCAATATACTATTTAGAAAGAGAGGTTACACTGAAAAAAATAAATTGAACTAATAAAATATAGTGATGAAATGATGAAGAAATATGTGCATGAAATTTAATCATATTTGTGCACTTTGTAAAGGCCTCGTGAGCTCTAAAATACGAAATAAAAGACTTGCACTTGTATGGTATTCTATAATGGTAATCACCAAATGACTTTCTCACTGGCATCACAGTGACCAGTGTCGATGGGTCAAAAAAGCACAGGCTTAAAAAGAGTGGGAGAGGAGATTGATCCACCGACGCAGTCTATCTTTAAAAAAGCAGGACACAATGGTATGGACAAACAAAAGCAACACCTGATTGTAAAAATATGTCTCTAATTTTCTTTTCTACGTTTACATCAGATAAAACCTTCTGTTGAGTATTTTTGCACAGATCATTGGCAATGATGATAAGTAATAAACACCAATTAAAATTTGAAATCAGTTGGATCCACTGACCATTAGAGCTAGAAACTCCATGGCAACATAAAACAAGCAAGGATGCCATGCGATACTGAGTTAATAAAGTCATGCACTTTCTTTAGCACAAAGGAAAGGTCAACTGGTTGAATTGACACAGCTTACGGCTTATGAGAATGGAATGTGAACAAATATGGACAGATACATGAATTACCATAAGAGAATGTTCAAATGGATCAACAGAATTGACGGAATCTCTAGGAGGTAGACAAGTTACAACTGAGCAATGGATCTATCACTTTCCTAGCTGCCTTCCAGATGATCAACTTCATACTGAAAGAAGATTAACTAATGGAACGCCAGAGGTTATAAACCTCTTTTAATTTTCTGTTTATGATGCATAGAAAAGAGGTTGCAGGAAGAAACTGAACAAAATATCTTATCATTAACTACATAGCGGTATGGATCTTCTCATTCTGTCAAAAGTTTGCTGTTCTAGCTCGATCCGTCGAACCTTTTGAAATATCAATGCAATCCATTTCTTTTTCACCATGCATAAGAAAATATTCCACTTTGATTGTTTGAACGCACATTACCCGCTCAGATTTAAACCAAAAATGAGATGATCAACAATGCCTTCATGACGACCTTTCAGATTGATGGACGGAATGGTCATGATAGACCGCTCAGAATTGCGACGACAGGGTTCAGATTCACAGGGCAGCAAGCACAAACTCGATCGTTCGATCAAAAATCAAACTTTTTGGTACCAAGCTGAAAACTACGGAGGAATCAAAAACGAGGAAAGATTCGCCGAACTAGAGATGGTTTCATTGGTTCTCTCTAGATTCGCTAAACATGGTGCTTGCGAAATCTAACAAGAGCGGGGATAAGGCTTACAATGTTGGCCATCCTCCTCCGGATGGCCATTTCTTTGGCTCATGAATTGGTTCCAGATGCCACCACCATCTCTACGCCACCGTGGCCGCCTTTGCCGCCGCTGGGAGCTCAGTCAGAGTGGAAAGAGGGGCGTTGGATGCGAAAAGAGGAGCAGCGGCAGCTCGCTGCAAAACAAGCAGATATTGTTTTTCTATGACATGGGACGACGTTTTAGTGGGGTACACTTATTTGGACCAATAGGATTTGTACTTAAGGCCGTACCCTGTCTGAAGCCGAACCGCTTGTCCCTCGTAACCTAATCGATCTCTTCTTTTACACTTCGAGTTGTCGTCGAGGCGCAAGAGATCGAGAGAGAGATGGAGAGGGTCAGGACGACGTGAAGCAGCTCGAAGATTGCTCCGTTGCCAAGTAAGTCATTCTCCTCTTCGATCAAAATCCGTAAACCACCCCTGAATTGTTCGCTTGTGGCGTTAGGATTCCTCATATTGATTTATTTCTTTTTTTTGTTGCATTCCCTCGTTCAGAGGACCACTTTCGCCTAGAACTATCGATTAGGGTTCAAGGATTGCTCTGATCGGATGATACATCCTCTTCGTATAATTCATGTAACCGGTAATGTCAGCATATAATGGTAAAAGCGTTGTTATCATTCAGTTATGTTTCATATAAATAGACGCATGGAACAAGGCGGACGTGATCAAAGTGCTGTCCTTGTCGAAGTTCCAATGTTGTCACTTGTGGAACAAGTCCTACACTATTTCAAATATATCTCGGATCTTGATGATAATTGTTGTTGTTAATTTCGTCTGAAGTGAACAACTTCGAAGAACACTTATCTTCGCGTGCTGGTCACCGGCTGCAAAAAAAATCATCTGCATGACCATCAGCCTTCTGGTGTTTCCAGTTTAGATGGATTAGGGAAACATTTCCTATCAAAATTTTGTTGTAGGTCTAGAAACAATTCCCCACTCGATAAGTTCAATGGTCTACCTTAGAATCTGATGACACTAAAATTTTAAATTTGCCCCGGTTGGGATAAAAGCTTGGGACCTGGCCCTGACGGGTTAATGTTGAATTTTAATTTTTTTTCATGTTTTAATGTTTACTTGTTTGAGGCAATCAAATCTTTCCATGCCAGCCCCATAAAACTTGGCAACTTAAGTTTGCTAATACAATTCAAGAGAACCTTGTATCTTTTGATGAGGGATACTTTCACTTACATTGCTGACCTTTTGCTGCCAAGTTTTTTGTTTCTTGAAATGTTTAAAGGCTGCATACTGTAGTGGTGTCCGAACCATAGATGGATTATGTAAAACCCTCTCCATTTTTGTAGATTTTGTTCTCTTTCTCTTTGGGATATTATGGAAACATTATGTTCTGTTATGGCCAAAAATGTTCATTTGCAAATTGACATTGGCAGAAAGATGCTCATGAAGAAATCCCGTGAGGTGAAGAGGGTGAGGTGTAGAAATTGAAAATGGTTGGGTCAATCCACTTTGTTTATGGTTAATCTATAGCTATCGAGACTTGAGGTGGTTACTCAAGAAGAATCTGTTTCATTTCTTGTGGTACTCGGCTTTTTTATGTGGATGTAGTTGGCATTCATAGAAAGATACAAAAGAAACAAATAAATAAGAAAATTTTGAAGCATTTCCTGTAATAATTGTTGTAAAGCCCATGCAAGGTATTAATTTGTACTGAAGGAACTACAGATGAGTTTGGCTCAAATTTTGATGCTTGAGTTTTAAGAATATTCACTGTTTTTTACCACTTACTAAATTGTCTCTGTCTTTTTGGAACTAGGAGGAATAAAAGTGGTCAAATATAGATTGATCATCAGGAAATGTTACTTAGTGGTGGAAGTTCCATGATGAGCTTTTCAACTGGCACACGACATGTTATTGTATGCCCCCTAAAGCATTCATCCTAGTATGGAGAAATTTACAGCAGATACAACAACTTGACGTCTGGATCATATCGACTTGACCTTTGTTTTGCTTGCTTTTCCTCCGAAGGTACACATATTTTTATGCAATTTTGTCTTTTAAGAAAGCAAATGAAGACTATACTTTAATATGTTGTATGGTGAAGTCGGACTCAGCATCTTTGATGTTTACCAAAGTATCCTTCTTTTAGGATTGCAGTTAGATGTTTGTAAATTCTCATCTTTTATAAAATAACTATTCTAGAGGTTGCAAGCGGTAAGGATACTCTGAAAACACAGGTTTTTATTTCTTTGTAACACTGAACACTCTTGAAGTATTCTTGTTTTAGGATTGGGTCAGATGTTTATAGTTTCTTATCAGGTAAAATAACTATTTCATAGGATGTGAGTGGTAAGGATGCTTTGGAAATATGATTTCTCTTTCTTTGCAACACTGAACACTCTTGAAGTATTCTTGTTTGAGGATTGGGTCAGATGTTTATAGCTTCTTTTCAGGTAAAGTAACTTATTTCATAGGATGTGAGTGGTAAGGATGCTTTAGAAATGTGATTTTTCTTTCTTTGTATCTGGTTGTTGTGGTAAAAATCACTTCTTTTTACCTGGTTATCAATTTTGTTCGATCTTAGGCTTTAGTCATGACCATGTTTCGGAACTTTATCTATGCACCGAGTATTTCCTAGTTGTCGCAATGGATCCTTTGGTTTCCAAGCAATGCGTGATCAGCTTAAGTACCTAAATGACAAGTTAAAACTTGTAATCCACCATGCTTTTTCGGTGCGAGCAGCTTATTTTATAGCAAACTTACGTGTAATCTCATTGGATCGAAGAGAACACTTCAAACTTATATTTGCTCATGGATAATGAAGATAACAGGCAGTCATCATGCTTGTTGGCATTTGCAGTGCGCTCGGTACATGGTTCTTCTCAGTAGCTGGAGCTTTGATTGCAATTGCAGTGGGAATACATAAGAAATCACTGGCGCCATTGGTCTTCTTCGGTACCACCGGCACCATGCTTGATATCATCGTGGGAATCAGCCAATGCGAAGGAGAGCAGGCAGAGCGCCAGATGAAGCTCCTGGAAACTCGAAAGACACAACTTTGCAGGCAGTGCTTCATCTGATGCCGAAAGCTATGTTGGATGATTTTTTTGCATGTTATGTTGTATGGAGAATTTTATTTGCTATTCTAATTAAACTGTTAATTCAACAATCACTGGATAAGTTGTTTCGTTCCTTTACGCTTTTCTTTGATTATTATGATCACTTCAGGAATTAGATTTCAGAGAGAGAGGTCATAAAGGATGCTGTGGCAGGAAAATATCTATTTCGGGTCCCACAACTGCGTCAGAGCGACCTGCGTATGTACGTGAAAAATCTATAATGGGTCCCACAGTCATGTTGGATGAGATAATGTTGTGGCACGTGGTAACGTAGATCTTTTGGCGACCTCGAAAATATCTGGCGCCGAGAGAGTTTGTCAGCCTGTTACGTGTCGGTCCTATGGCGGTTCCTCCACGTAGGAAAGCTGTGCCACGCGGGACAAAAACCCCGGACCGGCCAACCAAATAAATATCCCCCGCCCCTCTTCCTCCTCCCTCGTTGGGGTTTCCTTCTTCGCTTCTTCGGTTCTCCTCCTCCTCCTCCGCCTCCTCCTCCGGTGTCGAAGAGGCAATCCAAAGCGGCGGATATCGAGAAAAGAGTGTTTGATTCAGAGGAGAAGTTCGTTGGTAAGAGATCTCCATCCACATGGGTGACGGGTCTTCGAGTCAGCTGATCACGGCTGAGATTTCGGCGTCCGAGGGCCGGAGCGAGGTAAGCAAACCATGATTTCTCCTCACTCTACGGTTTTCCCAGGTGCGTTTGTTCAAAATCCATTTTTTGAACCTATAATCGATGAATTCGGGTCATTGAGAAGGAATCTTGGTGGGTATAACCTTGATTCGTTGAAACTTAGGTAGGGTTCTCTTGATTGGTTCCGCCATTTCGCCCCAGATCTTAAGAGAGCTGCGTAGATTTTGAATTTAAGCGAATCTTTCGATACCGTAAGGCTTTGATAATGTGCAAGAGTTTTCTTGTCAAGAAAAAGTAGAATTGTGAATTTCCGGAAGAGGGTGGATTACCTGGAGAGGATTCGGTTTATGTTGGTGGCTAATTATGGTCGGCACATAATTCCGACATTTTCATCATTGAGTAGGCTGATTATGCAGAATAATGAAAGAAAATTTTAGTTCTTTGTGAGCTGGTGATTTTCGTTCAGTTGAGGTAGATATCATCTTGCAGTCAGATTAGATTTAGCTTGTATCCGGTTCTTCCTTAACATCTGAAATCAAAGATAATGATCTGAGGCGATTCTTAAATCCTGCAGGAGGTTCTGCGTGAGATCAAGTCCAAGATCTGTAAAGGGGATTCTCTAGAACAAACATGAACGTGAAGGAGAGAATCTTTACTTGGTGTGTTAGGTAAAAAGCTGTAGTATTACTCATTAACCTTTAATCCCATGGAAGTTTCTCTGATTCCTGTTAGTAGAAAGTCTCCCATTTTTCGCCTAAAGGAGGGACAGAAATTAAGTTTGGCTGGACAAGTACAGTAGAAGGGTTTTGCTGGAACTTCTACCTACTATCTCAGTACTTGTTTGCCACCCTCTTTCAGTTGTACCCTTCCTCTCATCTTTTCTTGTATGACAATTGACCAGGTATCAAGTATGTTAATCTATTCCCCATGCTTGACTCGAACTTTTTTTTTTAAGTCACGATCTTGTTGTCACCTTTGCATGTATCCAAATCCAGCTCATACTTATCTTTTGCAATGTCTTGCTGTTGTATTCGGAGTGATGAGTGCATCAAATAGTAGTCAGTTATGTGGCACTTTCTCTTCCTCTTCTGCAATGAGCTGACCAGGATGACAGTCTGGAGGTGGCAGGAAAATGAAGGATGCCCAACAAGCCAAGGGGAAGCACTGAGGCCTAAGGCATCACTGGAGTAGATTGGTGGAGGATCATATGATGCCTATGTCAGCCAAGGGTAGAAGGAAGTAAATAAAGCAACAGTAGGTGTAGCCAAGTGTTCTGTTGTTTACCTTGGATGGTTGGAGATCCCTTTATAATTTGGCTGAGAGCTCCTCCTGACTGTGGCTATAGTTGACTCAGAGGGTGGTCCACTGGCATTGCTATAGTAGGTTTCTGAGGACAGGCCCTAGACTACAGTCTGGGTGCCTGCCAACAACTCAAACCCTGCATGACCTCAATATCATCTGTGGTCAAATGGGGCCTGTAGGGAGTGATGGTGATGACTGGCACAAGTATAATGCTTGTGTCTGATAAGCAGCACAACCCTCTGAAAGATAATATGCCAACTACTCATGAGTCCTTGTCCTCAGATGACCGAGGTCAAGGAGGAGATCGAGTATGATTGTGTTTGGTACTTGGTACTTGGTACTTGGTTCAGTCCTCAACGGCGCCATGTTGGAAGGTTCAGGCCATGTGGTAGTCGACATGGATGCCATGTCGTAGTGCACTACAATACTTATTCACGAGATATTTGTTGTTAAGGCATCATCAGGACTTGATGATGCTCTCCATTTAGATCTCTAATTATGTTATTTGCTAATATCTCTTCAATTTTGTTTTTTGTAAAATGATACTAATTGCAGCCTAATAATCTAGTTGCAGGTCTTACTAGCTAACTTAGTTTTCATAATCACGATCATCACTCAATTTGTTGTATGTGACCCTGAAACGGGATTCCTCTTACTTGTGAGGATGTCATTAGATTCTCTTTTCTAAGATACTTTATTTAGCAATGTGGGGTTTAAGTAATGAGGACAAAGATAGTTCTCTATTGTTTCTTAATTCTCCATGTCTTCGTCTTTCTATATGCTTCTAAACTTCCTATTTAGGTTTCCATTTCCAATGGCATGTACTTGTACTGGTGGCAGTTGGCAATGCAGACTAGCATGCTAACAGACATGCAGCATAGATAGGCTTACTAACGTGCATGATGAGCTGATGAGTGGTCTCTTAGTTTTTTTTATAATTGACACAGACATAGGACAAGACAAGCCCAAGAAATCTTCAATCAAGATTGAGCAAGAGATGGACATCGATTGGGTGATGAGTCAAAGGGTTATATGATGAGCATGTATCAATATACATTTATATGTCTGGCAAGTCATTTTCCTGTTTAGAAGATTAGTGGGCAGGTGTGGTTTAATTATGTGTTCTGACATGCCTTATTTGGATTAATCCTGAAATCGAATGTAATTCCTTCTCAGCCTTGTTTGTTCATCTATCTGATGTTTGCTTTTTTTGAGTTATAACTATTTTTTTTATTTGGATCATCTCATGTTTTATTAGGTTTTGCATTTGTGTATTAGGTCATGATATGATTCATAATTAAATTGTTGTATGCCCCTTATTATCTAAACTATGATGTTGCTTTATCTCTCAGGACCCCTTATTGATAGATTCTGGATCAAATAGATGGACAGATGAGAAACACACATTATTTCTTAACTCCATTGAAGCATCTTTTGTCAATGAGTTATACGACGAGCAGTATCATTCAAAGGCTTTCGTTGGTTGGTTATCAAGGATAAAAAAACGCAAGGAACCATCTGGACCCTATGAAAATGATCTGAAATCTGGTCAGGTAGTAAGAGATTGCCCTTCCTCTTTTTGCCCAAGTGGTATGTTCCATTTCTAACATGTCATCTTAAATATAACTCTGCAGTTTAAGGAATCATCTGGACCATATGAAAATGATCTGAAATCCGGTCAGGTAGTAAGAGATTGCCCTTCCTCTCTTTGCCCAAGTGGTATGTTCCATTTCTAACATGGCATATTAAATATAACTCTGCAGTTTAAGGTATTGCGTAAGGGATGTTGGGAGAATCTCATATTTGAGAGGGATAATAGCCATACCGACATTGAGAATGGTTCTTTCACTTTATCTGCAAACCCTTGGTTTCAACATTTTCGATCACCTTTCATTATGAAGCAAAGAGATCTTAACTCTTCTAACGGAATTGGCGATATTAAGTTCATTAGACCTTCAGCAAAGATAGCAAGTGAGAGGCTTGATGAAGAAGCAATAAGCTCAAAGCACATTTGTCATCAAGACTCTATTGGGAGCAGTACAGGTACTTTTGTTAAACAACTCTTAATCTCTCGCCTTCTCCTTCACTATCGGTCACATAGTTCATTTCCCTCAGGTTCTTGTTCCATATAAGGCAAAATTTTATATTTGTAGTGTAGTAATCATTCTATAGTGTTTCTGGTGTTAGTGCAATATAATCACTATTATCCATAGTTCCATACAATAAAATTGTAAACTGCAGAGATTCTCAAAATATGAAAAATGAATATGGTGCTTTCTCTCCAAATATGGACGAAACTTTAGAAAAAGATGTTGAATAAGGTGAAATCGATCTGTTTGCTTGAAAATTAAAGGTGAATAATCAAGAGCAAATACATTTTCAGAGACGTTTTATCTATGCTGTCACCCTTTATCTATTTCTATTCTGAAGACATGACCAAGAAGCAACTGTGCCTTCAACATTGATCCTCAGCAAGCTAAATTTTGTGTTTTCTCTAGTGCCTTTTGGTTTATCTCTCCATCTTTTCCTCCGTATTCATGAGTCAAAATGCTTCCCTCATACTTTTTTGGGACTAGTGGGTCAGTAATATTAGATGAATGGTGTTGGTGTACCAGTAATATTGCGCGGAATATTTTTTTGGGACTAGTGTACCAAAAATCTTAAATATGAACGTCTTTCAGTTTCTAAAGTATACTTGCATAGCTTCAAAGGATGGTGGTTCTTTTTAAGTGGTTTGCTATTTTGTGCAATGCTGTGACACCAACAAAGCTGTCTTATCATAGTGTATCTTAATTGCTTTCGCTTTTCTATCTGCATTCTGCTTTCAGCTTACCGATTTTTTCTTCCAAAATAATTACAACTACTGTTGACTTTTCTTTGAGCTTATTTCTACTCGCAAGAACCACTACAAAATGCAAGCAATCAATGTAGTTTTCAGGCTAAATGTCGGCAGTCACTGCACTTTGGTTGTTGGTATCAGTGGGTCTATCTATGTTTGATCACAGCCTTTGGCTCGTCCTGTTCTTGTATGAATTTTCTTTTACAAAAACCTGCTTCTTGCTTACCAATCCTCAATATATGTTTTAGAACAATATAACAAGATCCAGCAGATGATCTGCTAAATGCACTTTGATTCCAGTTTCATAGAGGGTACATCTTTTGAAAGAGATGGATATTCTCAGAAGATTTACAAAGATACAGCAGGGTTTCTGTTATGTATATCCAATACAGTTTTATAAATTCCAAATCTGACATTGTGTTCAATGGGAAGATGAAAATTCATCCAGTTTACTCCAAATATAGGCTTGAAAGTGGGAACTTTATTTTGCAGAAATGTCAGATCAGAACTTTATTGCTGATGAACTTATAGTCGGGAAAAAGTCAAGTAGAATATGCAGGAAAAGAAGACCGGGAACTGCACTGGTTCGTGGACCAATCAATGATCAAGTAATGGGCGGACTCCCTGTCTATGAGGCTTGCTTCTAGCATAGATATCTAAGTTGAAACAAAGTATTATCCTTGTTGGTGATTTCTAGCTAATGTCTACATTTTGGTTGTTTCTCAGGTTATTCCTTGTAGAAAAGCACTTCTTACGACAAGCTCTGACGAGAACCAAGCTTGTCGACGTCCAACAAATTCAGGATCTGGTGCCAAAAATATCTGAAGCAATTACAGGCATTGTGACTACTGAAAAACTGAGGCTTCACCGTGTAAAAATCAGGAGATCAACAGTTGAATTTTGGCAATGTCAACCGAAGCTCGAGATGCATCGTGGTACACAAGGTTAAGCGTGTTTCCTGGTTTTTGAGATCATTTCTCGAGGAGAGATGATGCGAAATCAAAAGGTTACTGACAATTTTCAAGAACGTAATATTGGTTCTGATTTCTGACACTTGATGTCAGCACAGAGTGAATGGCAGGTACATAGCTTGAAAGGAGTGGCAACTGAAGTTTGTATGTGAACCAAGTTCCTGTTTCTATCTTTTGTATGTTGATTTGGTTGGTGAAAAATCTTCAGCTTTAACTTGTTGCATAGGTAATGTTACGGTAAGTAACTTTTTTAGCCGTGACCTGAGGGTCGACGCGGCTGGTTCAGGGGTCCGAACGACCAGGATCAGGCGAGGCTGCTAAACTCGGGATCTCGGGGCGACCGATTACGGGGAATAAGGCTGGGATGCTCCGCGTCGCTGGGTTGGATCGGCTTCCCCCGAGTACCTGCACAAAGGTCGGGTCGGTGATTCGGCCCGACCCCTCCAATGGTCAAGTTAGTGGTGTAGAGGGGAGTTTTAGGGGAAAATCGTGTGTTTGTCTGCTTGGAGCCCGAGGGTATTTATAGGTGAGCTCGATGTTACCTGACGCCATCCTGCTGGGGCAGAGCCGTACTCCTGATTGCGTCCGTTGCCGTTGTGGGCATTGTGCGGTAAGGCCGAGTTGCCGTAGGGTGTGGCAAGCCTTGGCCGATGCCTTCCCCTGCCCTGTCCGGTCGTACGGGGTCAGCATGACGAGGTCGTGCGGGTACGGTCGGTGAGGGTGCGCGTTACGCTGGTATTAATGCTCGTCCCTTGGCGCGGTGTGCCGTTTGAGGGTGGCTGTCATGGGGCAGTGTTACGTCAAATCCGGTGCGTCATGTCCTATTTGTTTTTACCCCTATCATATTCCCCCCCCCCGGAAGGAGCTATGCGTCGGTTTTCGCATGTAGGGGGCCCGAGGCATGGCTCCTGTCTCCTGGTGACTTGGCCACGCGGGTCTAAGGAGTGAGTTGTCGGACGGGGCCAAACTTGATGATCATAGGGCCGAAAAGGGCCGGGTAGCATGATGCGATCGGGTTACCGTGCTAACGTGGTCTCGGAAGGCGTGCAGCCGAAGGTCGAGGAG